TATTAATATTATTATTAAAAAGTTTTTACAATACGCAGATCAAATTGAAGAGATTGGTCTTTGTTTTGCCTCAAAGTTAAAAGAAACATTCGAGTTACTTGGAAACAGCATTAAAGGTGGAGATTATATATGTACATGTACACGTATATATATACTATATGTATACCATACCTTGACTAGGTAGGCGATGTGGCCTTTTTGAAGCGCGTCCGGTGGGTGTATCCAGTTTCTACTCGTTCCTGCGAACACAATTCACGAAGGACTTTATTTTCAGTCGAAACGAGACTCACCGTACAAAACGCGTTCTCTAACAGCGAGACGAGTCAACTTCCGTATTATTTAACACAAACACATACACACACACCTCCATTTTTACTCGTTTGATTTTTATTATTCGTCGAATTTTGTGCCCACTTCAGCAACGTCGAGTTCCTCATTTTGTCGGTTTTTTTAAGTTTTTCCCCGCCGACTTAACGACCAGCTGGAAAAAATCAAAACAAAAAGAAAGAAACAATTATTAAATTTATTATCAAATTAAATATACATATATACCGTCAATTATGACTAAATCTGAACATTCATTTTATTATTTATTTTATAATATAATTAATTTTTTCAATTTTTTCAATTACAATTAATCCACTATCATAATTACCGATACAATTTTATGAACCATTCATTTGCCATATCAATTAATTGCACACAATCAAACGTAGAGAAAATTGATAAAGTAATATATAATGTCGTATTATATATGATTTAATGGTTATATAAATGTTTTTCATTTAGCAATGCTAAACCGGACTATTAAAGAAATTTATTTCAATTATAAAAAGGTAAACATCAATCAAGTGCTTTGATACAAACATTTATAAATTTTTTCAAAGTGAAGTTTATCTTTGTGGACTTTGAATGGTTCATATATGTAAGGTTTTTTCAACATTTATTCAACTTTAAAACCAGGAAATATTTTTTTTTAACAAGTGTTCAACAGCTAAGGTCATATGCGCTTTCTATATGACATGTTTTTTTTAAATTGCTCATAAATAAATGAGCTTTCATATTGTCCAGAAATTATTTGAAGCGAATTATTATTTCATAACTTTTATTCAGATAGAACAACTGTGTTAACACATATTACCTTTTTATAATATAGTATGGATTATGAAAGTAATTTCGCAAAAACCAACAAAAAATATTTGATATGAGTATATACTTAAGATTTTAACATGTTTCTGTCGTGTTCGGACATAGAACCAGTTCCGGTATTTGAAGATTAGATTGTATTTTTTTTTCTATACAAATATACATTTCTTCATATTTTTATTTTCTCTTAGTTTTTTTATTTTGTGTAATTTCCTAAACTGTATTGTGGTTACATTTCACAACTAATCAGAACTTATGGCCGGAAACCAATACTGTACTAGTAAAAACAGTACTTATAGTCACTGTAATGTATGACTATAATAATAATATTTATATAGTTATTTTAGGGTGAAACCATATTTTTGATGAAACCGTTGTTCTCGACCTTATTAAATATACGGTCTGTTAAACGTACAAATAGTGATCTCATTAAGGTAAGAGAAGAGAGTTTGAAGAAATTCTTCTCCGTCGATAAATTTAGCCTAATTTCTCTTTTTATTTTCCTTTCTCTTTTTATCATCGCACTTCGTAGATAAAATAAAAAAAAATAATAAAAACGTCGTCTCTCCTTTTATTCATATCTTTTACTATTTTATTACGTTAACAGTTTTCTTCCACGTTCAAAAGTTGCTTTCTACATTTCTCGATGCAGTTCTCACGGTAGGACGCAATCTGCAACTACGACACGATGCGACACATTGAATATATCTACACATTCATATAAATATACATATATATATACCATGTTGCACTTATAGCACGCAGTAATGCATACATATAACGGGGTATATATATATACATACTAAATACAAAGGAACACGCAAGTTGAACACTATTGTTTGATCGTATATTCTTCGAAAGTCAGCAAGAGTCTCGATATGCCAGCAGATCTGTTTTTTTTTAAGTCAACGTGCGCGAATATAAAGAATTCACTGACTCTATATATTTCTATACGTCGTTTCGAAATAAGATAAGAATTATATTGTTGACATACAAACTGTCAACAGCTCTTTCATCTAATACAACTTCATTGAATGTAACAAATAATATACGACGTATATGCCGCGAAATATCAAAAAATGATGATTCATTTATTTTCTTTACTAACAGTTTATTTATACAGAAAAAGAGAGAGAGAGAGAAAAAGAAGAAAATACAAATTTTAAAAAAATCCAAGGATACTAGATATGGTTGATGTACGTAATTAGCAAGAAGACTCGATACAAAGCGCATAAAAGCAAGTTAAAATGCAGTCGATTGTTCCAACGTTCGAGCGGTCAGCCTTGGACACGAAGGCTAGATCCTTTCGCGTGTTTCATCATCTTGAATGCGCGACAGTATTATTTATACTTTGAAACATAGAGATACAGAGAGTATACCAATTTAATCGATACTTATTTCTATCACTTTGACGTTGTGACGATGAAAAAAGAAGAACGACGTATATTATTAAATACTTTTGTCCTAGAAGTAATTAAAACATGATAATTTCAAATTTCCCACTTTTAAGAACGACTTTGCGATGGCGCGGGAAATTAAAAAAATCCGAATTAACATTTGAAAAAAGATAGCACAAAAATATCAAATTCCTTGTTTTATAATTAGCTAAAAACATGGAATTTTTTTGCTTGGTGGCACAGAAACTCTAAAAAATTCCAGTAGATAATATTCTGAAAAATAAAAATAAATAAAGCAAATGAAATCTTAGAATTATAACATGCTCGTATTTAAACAAATTATTCGAGCATATTTTTTATCAAAGCAAAGTTTCAAATTTTTTTTTTTCGTTTATCGAAATGTTAAAAATTCGATATCACGAAAAAAAAGTACGAACGTCATCATCAAGACCAGCTCAAATTGGAAACAGTCGGAATTATCACGTTTTATCTCTTCCATCAATGCACTCGCGTGAACCTAACCTTACTTCCTTTCCCCTCATCATCTCCTCTCTTCTTTACTACTACTATTCTCTTCTCTTCTCTCCCCCAAGGGGAGGACGCCGACATAGCGCCTGTTCCATTTGAGAAGCGTTTAAGCGCGTTGAAAGATGGACGCTCGGATTTAATGCACGACTTCCTATTCCTCCCACGTATCGCAGTTGAGTACTTGCTTCAGCAAAACGACCTGAACCGTAACAGACAAACTTCATCATCATGTAAACCGTTCAGGTACCTTCAAAAGAGCCGAATTTAACCGAACGTAATCCTCAACGACATCTTAAAAGTCCTCATCTTGTTTTTCATGATGAATTATAGCATACTCGATCGGCAGTTCAAATTGTTTAACCGTAATATTGATTATCCAACGTATTTTAAAATTCAAGTCACATTATTACGAATTTTTTTAAAAGTCATTTGTTAAATAACATATATTAAATAAGGTACAGCAATGAATTCGGATTCTTTTTAAACAAATTTAATATTTATTTATAAAATAATCATAAATCTGTTATTCATCGATAGCCCATTCATTCTTCAAGCAACTGCCAAATTTCTTGACGAAAAAAACATGGCGATTTTAATCCAATTAATTTAATATCAAGATATCGAATTAATTGTTATATCTAATATAATAAATATATTATCAAAATAATATTTGCAATAAAAACTAATTTTATAGAGTACTTATACAATAACTCGTAAGGTTATTCGAAAAGACAAGATCATCGACTGCATCGTTGCGCCATGGAATTTATCGCATCTCGAGCATAACCCGTTCCTAAGAGATTTCTTAGAAAAAGATCTTGCTTTCGATGCGAAAGAGAGATAGAGAGATAGAAAGAAAGATAAAAAGATAGAAAGAAAACTAAAGACACGCAGCAGTGACATTCGCTGCATCCGAAGACTTGCAGAAAGCCGTTTATAGAATAGACTCGTAGAGTTTCTCTATGCGCTATGCGTTAATCCTATAACGTAGGTATGCGTATGTTAATACTAGCTTGCATAACGTTCAAGGTGAAACTCCTCCAAAGCGGTACGCGGCGTCACGTGCATAGCGAGCTTTTACTGACGCCCATCATCGCCTCTCTGCGAAGCAATTATTATCTCCGTTAATTCGATCTCAACCACATACCGTTAATGGAACTATTATGGAGCCAAGTTAGAGAATAAAAGATGGATAGATAGAGAGATAAAGAAATAGAAATAGAAAAAGGGATACAGAGAGAGAGAGAGAGAGAGAGAGAGAGAGAGAGAGAGATAGTGTACGTCTATTTGCTTTTTGCGGTATACTATGGATCATTAACGTACATATACAGTCATTAATCTTATAAGTCATTTTTGTATATGTTTACAATTTGATTGTTATTTAAAAGCCATATTCGTTGAAGGAAAAACAAGCAAAATTGAATCTTACAAGTTTGATACGATTTATGAATTACACAGTGATCTAATGTGAGAACAAGTCTCCTCGTTATCGCTCATAATAATTAGAAAATAATTAACGTTAAGACAGGTAAAATCAGGGATAGATAGCCTTTAATTTTTCCAACGGATGCGGTCAGTTAGAAAATGTCTGCTCGCACTTTCTCTCAACTCTTTATAACGTCGATACGATACTATTGCGAGCCATTTAGAAAAGTCTTGCGGTCTGTCTGACCTACATCTCCGAGCTCGTCGTCTATGGAAAACTCATAATCCTTATATACAATTATGTGTATACATATATATGCGTTTTGTGTAGAATACAAATATTTTCATAGATCTTTAGTAGTAACGATAGACATCTTTTCTTTGTTTTATGAATTATTAGTATACTACAGCGTGATTCTGTAAATCATTTATATACTTTTCTTTGTTTTCATAAAGAAAAAAGAAAAAAAAAATAATTATTAAATTATATAAATAAAATATAATTACAAAAATGTGCAAATGTACAAATATAATTTTAAAAAATGAAAGAAAAATTATTTACAAGACAAAAATGATATATAATACAATAAATTATATATAATAATAATAAATATTATTATTTTATGTTTTTATTTCATCGGATAATAATACGCGTGCTTATGTATAAAACGGAAGTGTAAATTTTTGTTAACATCTCATCACTGTTTCTTGATACATACTACTAGCACTCTTCTCAATCGTTGATGTTAATTTGTTCTTGTAATCCAAGCTCTGCTGAGTAAGTATATACTCCTATCCCCCCTTTTCACCCCTTTCCTTCGTTTTCCATTCTCGCTCTAGATGAGCCTTTAAACGAAGGTACAAACTTTAGTCTACTTTCTTATTATGAATTATGACGTTAGTTAAATGTAGGCGTTTGTGCAGATGTGTGGGTATATTACGTTAACATTTTTCTTACATTCATCTACAAGGGGGACGAAGGAAAAAGTTGTTAAGTGTTTTTTCTAACGTTCTTACATATAAACTTCCAAAAATGCATTTGTGTGAATATACATGCACATTATCATAACTATTGTTAATATATTTAACTTGTGTGTTTAAGTTTTCGAACATTAATTAGGAAATAAAAATTATTAAATCTTTTTATGGGCTCTATCACTCTCGATAAATTAATTTCACTCGAGAAAATATTAATTGACGTGTTTTCGACTTCTTTCATCGTTAAATCAAAAATATTGCTGAAAAAAATGATATATTATTAAGTATTGATAACTTTTCAACCTGACCAATACATGTAACGTATTTATTTGATATGTTTTCTTTGTCGAAATCACTCATTAATTATTTTTATTGAGATAAGCAAAAAATCAATCCGAATTATCGAAATATTTATTTCTTTTGCATGAAATAAAAAATAAGATTTGATCATCTGTATTTATTTAATATTGCATTCGTTGCGAATACAAACGAAAGTTTTGCATTCAAAAGCGAAAGTAGCGTTTCCGGGTGTGCTCCTTTTCCGTTAGACGGTGAAAATAAATTAACCACAAATGAGGTTCCATCCATTAAAGCAAAAAAATACAAAGAGATGATAAGTATCATTAATATTAGTTATGTTAAACCTTGCCTTTTACATTATTATCAACAACATTGACTGAGATTTCTCGAAAAATAAAATATTATTTTTTTCGAATAACTGATAACTGATACAAATGAAATGAGTAAACGAATAATTTATAATATTTCTTACATATAGTAGTAAATAATTATTTTTTCATTATTCTAACAATTTGAATTGGTAATTATGCTGATCAATCATTTGTTAGTTTTTTCCGTAAATTTGCATTGGAATGCTGTTATCATATATTATGATAATCTTTACTGTAAAAAGCAAAAAACAAAAAAGAGAAAAATATTAATAAATAAATAATATAAATATAATATATATAATATATACTTCGAATATATAGAATCAAACACATATACAAAATGTAAAATTTAAATGTTATTCGCTAAATTATTCGTTGAAAATTCGAATAAATATATTTATTAATAAAAAAGAATAATTCGATTGAAAAAAAATAAAAAACAAATTATTGAGCTTCCCAAAAAGTTCGTGGTAATTTCGAAAAAAATGTACGAATATGTACATTAAATATATATTTAAAATACATTTAATATATATATATATATATTAAAAATATAAATTCAATAAAGGGGTAGCAATCAATTCGATGCTTTTTTAATAAATTTAGCATTTATTTATAAAACAATCATACATTTGTTATTCTTCAAAATAGTCTCCATTATTTTCGATAATTTTGATCCACCTTTCAGATAATTATCAAATTTCTTAACGAAAAAAATATTGCGATTTTGATGCAAATCATTTAATATAAGTCACCAAATTAATCGTGATTTATAATAATTTATAAATATTTATAAATTAATAAAAAATTATCCAGAAAGTCCAATATTTATTCTACGAAATATTTTATTTTATTTTAGCAATATTAGATACTCGCATTTCCAGGTTTCGATATAAACATATACGAAATCATTTAGTTTAATGTATCGATGACAAATTCGCGTGTAATAAGGGGAGGTTGTAATATGGCGGTGACCTCGATGTTGTTCGCCAAGAAAAAGAGAGACAGAAAGAGACGAGCAGACAGAGTAAAAAAAAGGAAAGAAAAAGTAGTAATATAACTGTTATCCGCTAGACACTTTGAACTTCGATGCAAGTACGCGCAATCGCGTTCTATTGCCCTCGAGGAAGCGATGAGAAAGAAAAGAGAATGTTTCTGGGTCGCATAAGAGTCGTCGCGGACAAGTAACTAGTCGCTAGGGTGAAGCGGACCTAGATTTATTCAACTTTAGTTAGCTTAGAAATTATTGTATTAAAACACTAACAATTTCCTATCTTAAATTAAATTTTTCTTTATTCTTAACTTTCCTTTTCAGTATCTTTTTCAAAGTCCTGAGACTAAATGAATGAACCAACATTTATTCAATTTTTATAAATTAATTTATAAAGTATTATACAAAATACGACAATTCCTTTATCATAATTTTTATTTTTCATATGATACCTTTCCCAAAATCTTATAATTAAACATTGAGAGAGAGAGAGAGAGAGAGAGAGAGAGAGAGAGATTTATTCAATTTGAGTTAACACTAGATATACCAGACCAGTCATTTTGATTGGTCGAGCCATTTTAATTCAAAATTTCTACTTCATGTAACATTTGAGTTCTGTAAATAATTAAGCGTTTTTTTATTTAAAAATATCTATAAATCTATTTATCTATTAAAATTATTATTGTTAAACATATTTTGTTATTTTTTAAGAGTAAATAAAGACTGGAAGTCTCAAAAAGCATTTTTTTTATACACCAGTCATTTTGACTAGTGTGGTAGAAATAAGTATACTAAAAATGGTGGTATATCTAGTGTTAATTTGAAATTTATTGTACTAAAACACTAACAAACCCGTATTTTATATTTTTATTTTATTTTATTTTCCTACTATTCCTTTTATCATGATATATGCATAATATCTTTATAAATTGATTTATATTACACCTTAATATATGCTAGCAATATTACTTAACGTTTAAATACGCTTCACGTAAAACTAGAATTGTATTTAATTTGTTAATTGTATGTAAGTAGATAAACCCTGAATTTCTCCTATTTAAAAAAAAAAAAAAAATAACTAACGATATTATTTCTACTTATTTCAAATTTGTATAATTAATAATTTGCTTAATTACAATTAATTTTAGTAATTAAACGAAAATACTCGAATCATCGTTATTCTAATCGGTCTACTCTATTTCTCGTTATCGCAAAGATTTGATATTTTGTATCGTTAATGTTTTATGAAATTCATAAAAAATATATAATAAATTGATTATTATTAAAAAAGTAAGTAATACAACAACGAAAATTTAATTTAATTGGAAAGAATTAATTGGCCAATCACCGAATAATTCGGATCATTCATGCAATAAACTTTCAAAAGGTAACCGATAAAGAGGAACAGGATATTCTTATCTACTACAATGTGGGTACTTTACTGATACCATGTGCCTCTTTAAAACTTCCTGTTTGATATATAATAATTATATCTATCATAGAAAAGAAATATTTAAAACATTTTTTTAACTCACCTAAAAGTTTTAACGATATGAAATAATTCATCAAATTCTTCTAATTTAATTTGCATAAAACGCACTAATCATTAGAATGACAATACTTGTAGAACGAGTGAAAATATACAAAACAAAAGAAAAAGAGAGAGATAAATATAAAGAGAAAAAAAAAACAAATATAACAAGACTACATAATCCAGAGAAAATTACACGAATCACTTCTACACTAACTGACGGCTCATAAGAGACTAAAGTTAAGCAGGAGGCGGTGATGGCGTCGGCGCGGTTCCTAACGCAACACCAGCGCCACCATGCGGAAAACGATTTTTTATTGTAGTTTAATAACACAACTACCAATAATTATTAATATAATGTATATACAAGACAATTATCTCTTATTTGTACTTGATTACCTATTTTTATATATCGAATCTTATAAAAGATTAATATTTATATATTATTTTATAAAATGAATCTAGTATTTATATATAATTAGTCAATTTTTCAGTCGATTAAAATAGTATTCATATCCTAATAATTTTATTCAATACAGTACTATGAAACTCAATATAAGATGGACTATATGATATTGAGATATTATAAAATAAAATAAAGTAAAGAGAGGAGATGGAGAAGTGAGATGTGTTAACCACGATGATATGCGAACATACACGGATACGCAGCAGAGATCGGTGATGGTAGACGATCCGGTAGAACGAGAAGGGATAGAGGATGGTGGTACCAGCCACGGCCGAGAGCAACGTCGTTCGTTCTCTTCTCTCGCTGGATGGTTCATTCCTTATCAAGGAAAGAACCAGCTCAAAGAAAGATGTACTCTTCATGAGACACGAACGTGTCACATTCATAGCTCCTCAACGATTTTAATATCAACGTTTGTTCGTATTTGAAGCAACATATATATGTACATATACATCTGTAGAATATACCATTTTATTTTTACACCTATCTATATCACGAAACAATAGTTATTCGTATGGTAAACCGGAAAATGATATTTTTCTTTACAAAATATGAATATATTTGGCTTGCAATGAGCCACCAACAGAAATTTAAAAAGAATAGCAGATACACTAATAATTATATCGGTTTCCGTTCCAGTTATATACACTTATTTATTTTTTGTGATCTATTATATACCGTAAAAATGTAAAATTAATGCTATTTTATATTTCACTAATTTTTTACGAATTTTTTTATCTTACATTGTTTTTAGCAAAAAATCCTTTTACAAAAGATCTCTTTCTGACAGTAAAAGAAATAAAAAAGGGTTAATTTTTTGCATAGACAATGTACATAAACGATTAAGTTTTATCCGGAACTGATTTTTTTTTCTTTCAATTTAAAAACAGAATATACAGTTTATAATTATTCGTATTCGTATATACGTATATATAATTGTCCGTGTAAATGATCGTCTTCAGTAGTTCTTACTATTTTTAACATAAAGAAAAAAAAAAGCCTGAATAAGTTTGCATAATCGTTCTTCTTATTATTCGCATTCATAACTTATAAACTATAACATGCATAAAGAGTCATAATGTCGAAGAGCTTATCGTTTAAACTCTTTGAACGGTCGTTGTGCTAAATACGAGCTAAATCTCGTCGGCACAGAGTATGGTTCTTTGAAGAGTAATTTCGTAATAAGACTCAAATGCAGAGCAGCTCCTCTAACCTTCAAACCCATAAAAAATATTCATAAATTCTCTTCCATGGGAAAAAGGACAATGATAAAAAATAAAAAAGAAAAAGAAGCATATTCTCGATGGTAAAATGTAACTGGGTTATTACCTATACGATATTTCTCGAAATATTTGCATGTACATATGTAACGCTATAAAGTCTTGTTCACAAAATTTCACGAACTGAAAACATCAATTGTAATGAATTTTATTGGAAGAAAAGGTAAACGGATTATGACCTACGTTGGGAATCAACAGACAATAATGCAGTCAAACTTATTAGGTATTCGATTCACAATACGTAACGGGTTTTTTATACCCATCAAAAATTCCCACTGATTTTCAGTACTTACATTGTGGAAATAAGCAAACAATCTAATAATAAGTATAAGAAGCATCGTTATTTTAAAAATAATTCAATCAATTTGAAGTTTGAGGAACGAATTAAAAAATTCTTATTTAACTACAAGGAAGTTACAAAGGTGACGATAAAAATACACGAGAGAATGAGCGAATAAGCCATCAGTTATGGACAGGTTTGGAAGTGTGTTTAAATATCATTAATAAAAAAAAAATTAAAAAAAAACCTGTTTTTTTTTCTCGCGTATATTTCTCCTCATACATTATACAATCAAATACTTCAGAATTGATCGCACGCCATCGTTGTTTTCATCTTTCCTTTTAAGATTTCTTGGAAGTGCACTTTTTACAAATAATTTCTACATACTACTCGTGGTCAAAAATAACGACAAAAATATTTGAGATGATAATAATAATAATAATAATAATAATGATAAATAAAAATATTATTATGAATCATCAAGAATTATATTTATATTTACATAAACGTGTAACATCTATAAATAGAAACATAAAAGATGTAAAGTTTCTAGTTTCATTTCTACTGGTTGTTCCTTTTTGAACTTTCTCGAGTTCCGGTTTCGCTCTCCATCATGACACTACCGAATTGCTAGTAAGAGTCATAGTTGTTCGCCATTCGGTGTACTCGTTACTCTCCTTGAACGAATAGTTGGTACTTGCACGCGCGCGCGAAAGTGGGGAAAGTAATGTATATAACTACCTTTCGATTCGCCTTCGCCATCCTATCTATGGATACACGTGCGATATATACATTACGTTTTATAATGTAACTGTCGTCAAAACTGGATTATTAACGTGCGTAAGCAAAATTCAATCGACCGTATCGATGAGAACAAAGTACTTTGATGACGCACTACGTTAAATCTCCATTTTACGAGTTGTGATATTTTTTTAATTCTATTTCTCTTATAAATTCAAGTCACATATATATATATATATATATATATATATATATATATATATACAGGGTGATCGGCAACTGGTGGTTCAAGCGAAAAGGGGATGATTCTTTTAAATATTCAGTACTTTTCTAGTTTATTTCCTAGAAACATATATATATATATATATATATATATATATATATATATATACAGGGTGATCGGCAACTGGTGGTTCAAGCGAAAAGGGGGTGATTCTATATGAAAAAATAAATTGAAAATATAGAATGAAAATTTTTTTTTTGAGGCTTTGTTTTCGAGAAAATCGACTTTGAATTTTCGCACAGTACGCGTCTACTTGATCTGATAAGTTCATAGGATATTTCCGAAAAGTTCGTAGGGTATTTCTGAAAAGTTCGTAGCAATTGAAAGAAAAGATTATTGTATATCTTTCATACTTGTGAAAGTGTTCATAGAAATTTAATTAGAAGAGTAGAAGTATGTGTTCGGCAAAAATGGGCAACATTTTCAGCAATTTTTGTAATAATAAACTTTGTGATTACTTCGTAAATTACGTGTCCCATAGAGAAAACGATCTACAAAGAGATTCGTTATAACGAGACATAATCAAGTGCACGCGTACTTTGCGAAATTCAAAGTTGATTTTCTCGAAAACAAAACTTCAAACGAAAAATTTTTATTCTATATTTTCGATTTATTTTTTCATGTAGAATCACCCCCTTTTTGCTTGTGCAACCAGTTACCGATCACCCTGTATATACGTCATTTGTAAATTTTATTTCAAACAACCTATTCTTTCTTCATATCCGAAGTTTACTAGAATTTTAAAGTATAAGTTAGACTATATCAGAGTATCTATATCTATACTATACTACAATAGTATAATATTATATATTGTATCTAATATATGTACAGATAATTATGACAGTAGTGTAAGTAAAAAAAAAAATATTAATTATATGATTTATTTTGCACAAAAATTATTTATATTAGAATATAAATCATATATAATAAATTTTGCCCACACACACACACACACATTTTTTGATTTACAATTAGTCCACTATAATTACCGTAACGTACATAATTAGAATTATTATACGATAATGATATAATATAATTATTGTATAATTTATGATAATATTATTAAAGTTATATTAACAATTAGTGTTGAATATTATAATTGTATGAATTATATTTAATTTAATAAAACTATACATACTAATATTAGTTATGATATAACTTTCATATTATATAATTATTTAATAGAAACAAGACAAAATTGGGTTATATGGGATTAAAGCTCCCTTGAAAAATGTTATATCCGCCCATTCGATAAATAAATCGCGTATCGACGAGATAAATCCTTCACAGTAATTTCGAAAATTTCAATACGCAGGAAATGGTTAACGAGATTACGCGTATCTGTACGGGCGGTGCATCGCGACTACGTGATGTATCGTTGTATCTCTCCGTAATTTGTACATACTCGCATATTTCTATTGTGCCTCTTTTTCCTTTTTTATTCGACGGATGTGTTAGGAATGTATAAAAGAAAAACAAACTAAGTACGTCATTACTTTCGACAGTAGCGGCAGTAATTTACTTTTATAGGCACCCACTTTTACTATTACAAGGAGAAAAATTCTACAAAACGTCAGGATTAACCCTTTGCACTCGAGGGCTCCGCTATGGAGACAATAAATATATTTTAAAAAAAGAGAAACTGAAGCAAATTCAATTTAGTCTATAACATATCAACTATGACTTTACTTTTAATACTCATATATCATTTATTTATATAATATGTGTTTATATAAAATGATTTTTCTATTAAAATTGCTTTGTGAGTTGTTGATAATATATGAAATGAAAAACAAAATTTCGAGTGCAAAGAGTTAATTGTGAACCGAAAAGTTAATATGAGGTATATTATATTTATTGAATTGCCTAAAAAGCTAATAATAATTTAATAAAATTATTCAAAGATAATAAATAAATTTTTTAATTTTAAAATATTTAAATAAAATGTATAAAAATAAAAATATATATTAAACATGTAAATATAAATCAGTACGAACTTCATAATACGATAAATATTTATATCAGTACGATATCCTTTATGAAAAAGATGTTTTTAAAGTTAGTATGAAAAAATTCATAATTATATATGCAACATTTCATAATTACTGTATTTAAATATATATTAATTATTATATATATTATTATTATAAGCTTAAATGTTTATAAGATCGGTTTATTAATATAAAT